CGCGTGCCAATTAATTATTTCACACATGTTCACACATACCTGATAATAGGTATGCACCAGTTCCAGTTTTTAACTGTGAGAACTGGAACTGTTCGGAAAAAGCTCTGAAATGACTTCAAAAGAAATTTTATATTCTGTTGACGAAAATACTGTAAAAAAATCAAAAGCATTTCAATAGGGATGCTTTTAAGCTAAAGTTTATGGAGTATTAATAATTGATTAATGGAACTGGTACTGTGACTTAAATAATCTATATCACCCATAAACTTCAGCTTCGAAAAGCATTCCCATTTAAACGTTTTTGATTTTTTTATCATATTTTCTTCAATAGAATTTAAAATTTCTTTTGAAGTCGTTACAAACTTTTTGCCAACAGTCTCAGTTTCAAACAGAATGTGGACTCTGTTTGTGTACAGGAAATATAGACCAAATTCTCACTTTGAAATAACAGAAAAGAATTTCTTTTACGTTCTTGCACTTCAAAAAATCAGTTACCATATATCCATCAACAAAATCTCTTTACGTGGCGTGAGTCGCTTTGCAAACTTTTAAAGTCCTTTACTTTTAATGATTCTCAGTAGTTTTTCTATCTTAGCAACGATAGATTTCCAATAGAAGCGATTTAGGATAGAGCTAGTCGAACTGAGTCCGAATATCGCCTTTTTTCGATCACGTTTTCGGGAGAAATCTTCAAAATACCACAAGAGTCGGAAAAAGTGAAAAGTAAGCTTTTTATAGAAAAGTCAAGATTTGACCGTTTTCCGTTCACTCTACTTTTTCGAAAAGTATTTTATTCGAGTTCAGCATCAAAACGTGATGCTGAACCATGTAGGTTTGTCACTAATGCATCGTTCTGATGTTTTCGAGCAGGACGGGCTAAATTCGTCCATCGACGTTTTGACATCCTGTTCTCGCAAACAAAATACATATGGATTTAAGAAACTTTCATTTCGCTGTTGAGAATTTCTTGAGAGTATTTCTGAGAAACACACTTGGGAAAACGCTTTCTCATATAATATCTTACTTGGAAATGGTCGAAGAATTTTATATAGTTCAGTTTGTAGAGAACATTACATACTATTCATTTGTGTAGTTGATATAAGCTTTATTCTGTCAGACTACGAGTGGAAAAATATTCCATTATAGTATTCTAAACTAAAACTATCGAGAAACACAAAATCAATTTTTTGTACGAATAGAGATCAATCGTGTACTTCACGAATCACAGCGTCTACGAACGTGTGAGAATGCGCGCTTTACCTATTGTATAGATTATCTTTAGTAGATGATTGTTAAGTAACCGAGTATCGGGAGGATAGAAACTGGATTAAACAAGATTTGAAAAATAATTCCTTGCTACTCTGAGAACAATTTTAAATCAAGAGAATAGAATGAGCCCAATTAATGGCTTATAGAGACACCCTTCGTTCGAATTACAAAATATGTTTCTAGTATGAGCTATTGAGATAGTGTTCCTATTCTCGATCAAAGTTCACTAAAGGACGGAAGCGGATAGAGTCATTTTGCATCCCACAATATTTCTGAAAAAGAAGTATATATTCGGAATCAGCATTAAATTCTGCATCTGATAATGTGTGTTTCAAAAAAATTGTGACAAAAATAATTTTTCGATATTCCAAGGTGGTCATAGAGGCAAAAACATTTCGAAAAAATGGAAAGTCAATTCTCGAGTGAATCAAATACGTTGTTTTATTCAGAATTTCATGCTGATTCCGAATATGTAATTCTTTTTCAGAAATATCGGGGGATGCAAACTGACCTTATTCGCCTCTGTCCTTTATGTCCGATTTTATGAATTTTTAACCATTCCATGCAATTTTATTTTCTGTTCACATTAACCACAAACACTGTGCCCGCATTTTGTGTTCTAATAGAAGACATATCTAAATACAACATTTTCTGTTTAACCATCGTTGTATTACTTTTCTTTCAGCTTTTGCCTTCAACCAGAAAAAACTTTTTCCTTTTTTCCTTTTTTTTCTATTCGTATGTTGTAACAATTAGAAGAGAAAAAGTACTTCAACTGATTCATATGAATCACTCTTACATATACAATATACAGCCACAGTGTTATGTAGAACGACAAGGTGACTAGGAAAGTAAATAAAGGAGGAATAATTTTTTCTTATTCACACTTTTTGTAAAATGAACATTTATTTCGAAAATTTTTTGAACGATCTAATGACTTTGAATAGACTTAATCGTTGTAATACATCTATATTACTGGATTTTCTTCCATAATTTTAAGTGGAATACTATCAGTCAATTACTTATACCGTTCACTGTATAGTGTATAAAGGAGCGTGAGTTGCTTTGCAAACTTTTAAAGTCCTTTACTTTTAATGATTCTCAGTGGTTTTTCTATCTTAGCAACGATAGATTTCCAATAGTAGCGATTTAGGATAAAGCTGGTCGAACTGAGTCCGAATATCGCCTTTTTTCGATCACGTTTTCCTTTCACTCTAGTTTTTCGAAAACTATTTTATTCGAGTTCCGCATCAAAACGTGAGTATATCCACGTAGGTTTGTCACTAATACATCGTTCTGATGTCTTCGAGCAGGACGGGCTAAGTTCGTCTAAGTAAATGCCAAACTCTTTTGTGCTGTTTTTATTGAAGTTTTTATATACGACATTGATTATGCCATTTTTGCGCATACTAACGGGATTTTTATTAGTATTCGTTGCATTACTAGCAATCAGTACTAACGATCAGTACTAAAGTTAGTACTAATGGTTTAATACTTGCACTGGGGTGGTTATTCATTATCCAGCGCCGAACGGTATCTAAGCGCTCCAATTCCCTCGCATGAGGAAAAGGAGAAAACTGCAGTCATGAAAGCTTAATATCAGTTTTAGTGTGAATTTTACAGTCAGTTAGCGCAAGTATCTTCTTGTAGATGAGACTCCGCTCTGCGCAGACGTATGTGAAATTTAAATTTTTACTAGGAGAGGTGATGCACTTTGTGTAATCTTGCTAGGAAAGCAATAAGAATTACGTGCCGTGCGCACATCTCTACTTATGATGTTTACTTTGCACCTGATACTAGTCTGCCTCACATTTCTGGTCATTTTTTACAGAAAATGTTATAGATAGAATGTGTAATATGAGTAAAACATATTTTGTTTCTGTCACAACTGAAACCTGAACAAAAATTCTTAACAAAAGAATGCAATTCATTTTTTAATAAGCTTTTGCTTTTACAAATTTTTTTTTGGTAAATATCAAAGGTTATCAAACCTTTTTCAAAACCAAAAATCAATGCTAATGCATATACAATTTATTTATTCATCTTAGAAGGGAGCATCCCCAAGTGTCTACTCTGGATTTTGAAAACGCAGTTGGCCATTTTGTTCAAATTTTGATTGTAAATCCAAATCTAAGAACTTTAGCTGCAATAATTCATTGGTAAAAAGCTATAGACGAAACACTTCTGCCCGGAGATGCAGTCTTCAGAATAAAAATCGCATACCTATATATGAAAAATTTTCATCTATAGCTTTTTAGCCAATGAACCATTGCAGCTAAAGTTGCCAGATTTGAAATTACAATCGAAACCTGAACAAAATGGCCAACTGCGTTTTCAAAATCCAGAGTAGACACTTGGAGATGCTCCCTTGTGAGTCACTAAGTCAGAACTAGTTGGTGAATGTGTCAGCCTCCTCAAAACACCATACCGTATTGTTTAATAGGGTTGATAGTTATGAAAAGAATATCCTACAACAAAATTTTCTTCGTCGGTATTATTGGATCTTCGTGTATGATTAGATTGGTTATCTTTTCGTTGGGCCTCGTTATTGAATTCTGACTTAAAATCTGATGATGCCAGTCCACTGAATTCTTCTGATGGCTCAAAATCATCGTTGTCATTTTGCACCCATTCATTGAACTGAAAGTGATATAGCCATATGAGATTAGATAGACTATATGGAAAAGTTATTCAACTTACATGAATACTTTCGTCGTCGCTATCAAAAAGAAACTCTCCTTGGCCCATCTCTTCATCGTCCTCCGAGCGTCCATTATCATCCGAAATGCTCTAAATCGTAAAGAGCATTTTTTCGTGGAAACAGAATTATTGGAAAAGTCTTTCAAAGTCACAGTTGAAATCTATTTTTAATTACCTCGCTTGTTGAAGAATCATCATAAATATCGTGTAGACACATTAAATTTTGAGTTTTTGTTGTTTTTGACTACAAAAGAAGAAAAAAAAGATTTGCAAACACGAAAGATGATTCTAGCATTTAGGCTTTTTTCTGTTACTGCAGATGGCCCGGGCATTGATTGTGTCGATTCTTGTTTTTTTGTGCAGCTTTTGCATTTACATAATGTCGTACAGTAAACAGTGGCCTGCGAAAAGCATTTACATCTTTTAGTACTACAGCCAGTGATACAACCACACGTCGCGAACGATGGTAAACTCGATAGAGCATCTTTTGTTCTCCATAAAATCTGAATTTTCCCATCGATTAATTTGTAACCGTTATTTATCAAATCTGCATAAATTAATTGAGTATAGGTTGCTTCAAACCAGATGCTAACTTGTACCGCAGCCCGTTTACAGTGAAGTAGGAAAGCATCTGTTGTTGATAATAATTTCATCAACAACGATCAGTATGATGTTGTGAATGATTGTATATGACTAATAGCACAAGATGTGCGGTATTCATCTAAACCTTAAAAAAAGAAATATTTGATACTTAAATGTAGTTCTAAAAGGTCTGATTGTTTTTGCTTACTTGCCAGCGAAGAATTCACAGAATCTAATATTAACCTCTCGGCAATTAGATACCAATTATAGGTGGATGAAAGTTCATGCATTTTAAGGAGATCTTCATATTTTGATGGCTGTTTCATAAATGTTTCAAATATTTTTCTTTTACTAACATTACGAATGAACGACGTGCTATCACAGCCACTCAATGCGTGTAGGCATATGAATAATTTTGGATTAATCTTATGACGAGTACGACATTCATTTCATAGTTTTGAACAATTAATAAACTTTTGATTCGTTGGTGAGAAAGAAGAATTAACAAGTAATTCAGTTTGAAACTGATTCGCATAGCCAACGGCTAAAACTACGATATCTATATCCGTGGCTTTCAACACAATTTGAGCATATTTACTGTTATACGATATATGATTAACATGAACAAACATTCGAGTATCTGCTTCAAAATGATTACAAGCCAAGTCGGTTGATTCCATCACGTTATTATTTGTTAGTTGAAAGGTCTTTGTATCTGGACCAGCAACTATGAAAATTTTATTCTTAGGTATCTGTTGTACCATTCTTAACCAACAATTTCGAATTAATATTGCTGTAGCAGCTCGATTGATAAATTGGTCATAATCATATCTGCTAGGTAACCTAAAACGAAATATTTCAGTGTAGTTGATATTAGGGAAGTAAAAGTTAGAAGGAAATAATAAACGAAACCTTACTCCGACAATTTTGTGAGTTCATATGTTTGTTTCGTTGTCATTTTGTTTGAATGTCGTTCAGTAAATGATTTTATTTGAACTGTTCTGTCAGAATCGTAAATAACATCAATGCGAGCATAATCGTGAAATTATTCAATTAATGTTTTCATTAATTGATCAGCGTAATTGTATACTGTTCTGTTTTGACGAAACTTCTCGGTTGGACGTGTGTGAAGTAAGAGACCACCGTCAATAATCAAAACAGATTCATTATTATTTGTTATTAGAGTACGAGAAAAGCATGATGGAAATAAATTTTGAAAAAATTGTTGTAAAATTGATTTTGATGATTGGTAAAACAAATGCGAATGAACAGAATGGCAGAGTGATAGTGGTTCATTTGTCAACTCGTGCTGGAATATAAAATTGAGATTGATTGATCTTGTTTCTTTTAAAATAAAAATATTTTGAATAAATGCTTCAATTTGAGCAGTAGATTTATTTTTTAATTTTTTTTCATTGGCCATCTGATATGCATCAATATCTGTTAAACGAAGTATCTTTTCATAAACGAATGGTTTTTCGATTTCCACTGTACAACGAATCGTTCTTCAATATATTTCGATAGTTGAGTTGAACCACGTTGAAACGAAGAACAAATGTTTTCTATAATATCGGCTGTAATAATTTTTCCTAAACATACAGAAATCATTTTGAGTTGAGATAAATCATCAAATAAATCAATATATATCCTCTTCGGGATATAGCCCGATCAGGATATATTTTTATATCCCGAATGGAATATGGTATACTCAAGGCATATCAAGACACATTGGTTTTTGTTTTTCAGTATGCGAGTGTGAGTTCATCTTTTGAAGAAAACTTATAATGTCGATGTTTGTCCGTCACCTAAAATACAACTATCTCAAAGCCTGATAAACGTTTTAATCAATATATATAGGCAATGAGGATATATATAGTCAAACTAGAGGTGATCAGACTATTTTTGAGTGTGCGAGTGTGAGTTCATCTTTTGAAGAAAACTAATAATATTACATTTACTCATGTAAACTAATATAAGCTACTCAAAAAAGCATCGAACTATTTATGCACATATGCCGATCAGGATATAAATTTTCTCCGATATTCCCTTCGGAATATACCCTATATCCCGAACGGGATATCACTCGTGAGACCGTACTGGCAGACTTTCACCTGTGAATAAAACACGCATATTTCGATTTTGGGCATCAATAACAAATAGATTTTCAAGTTTTAATTTTGATAAAATAATTTGAATATCGTCATAATCTACTTTTAGCCGGTTCAGACTAATTTCCAGATGACTATCGATTGTATTTCTTTCAGTTTCTAATCCGGCTAAATCATGAGTTATTGAACAAAGAAGAGATGGAAATGAAAATGATTGTGTCCAACGTTCAGTTGTTTTTTCCCCAAAATGTCCATTTATTCCTCCTCCTCCTTTCCCATATTTGTTAATAGTATATTCTATGGCTTGATCGACTGCCACTGATGAAAACAGACGTGGTGTTCTTTGGACAGAAAACGATAAAGACAAAAATTTGAATAATTCTTCTGAAGCTTTTTGGAGGTCGGCCAGATGACGCGTACCAAGTGGAGCATAATTGTGACGTTTTTGAGCAAAGAACATAGGTACCATTAGTGAAATAGCTGCGTTCCGTCCTTTAAAATTTGTCATTCGAATCGAAATGTATAATTTGATGACTGGCTAAAATATAAAGAAAAATTGTTTCCCTACGGAGTGAGATCTGGAAACGTACTTCTAAAAGTTCAAACAAAATAAACTTCCAAAATTTAAAACTATAACTTTTTTGATTCGACTTTTCAGACCATTCAACGAAAATATTGTATAATCGAGACTTCTCTAATTTTTGAACAAAATTTTCAAGCCAGTTTTGTTTGTGAACATCTGTTGTCAAATCATGAGGAGTTGGTGGTAATAATTGTTTTAATATTTGAATTGGTAATAATGATTGCAAAGTTGCTGATGACTCAGTAGACGAGAATAAATAGTTGGAAAATTCATATAAGATGTAAAGAGACGCATAAATTAATTTTATTGACCTGAATGATTTGTTGAAATGGTGCACGTTCAGGATAGATCGAAGAGTGACACCAGCATACAAATTCTCTAATAAATGCTCCACCTCCGATCCTTCCAAAACTCTCCAATCATTATCATATAATTCTTCATCAAATGGAAATCTCCAGGCATAATGAATACATTGTTGAAATCCGGACTACGATCCTTAACCTAAAAACAAAAAGTTTGGAAATTATCGAGTATAAAATTGCTACGAACATCATTATAGATTTTACTTAAAAATCACTTTCTTGGTCTATTCGACCTTTCGAGAAGATATACTTATCATCTTCAGGAACAACCAAAATTGAGTAACAATCTCACTATATATATAGATTATAGCATAATTAATAGATCAAAAGAGAAGAAAGAAGCTAATAATAATACGCGTCATAAATCAATTTAACACAAACAATAATCACGCATTCAGACAATTTTTGTTGCCCGCACCCTAGTGATCGATTCTTACAAAAGAATCTGATAGGAATCTGATAAGGAACTTATAAGAATACGCTATCACTCGTATAAGAATCTTATTAGATTCTTATTAAATTCTTACATAAGAAGTCCGCACGAAAGTTACAAGAATTTCGTACGAATCCGATAAGAATCGGGTAAGAATCCTGTAAGAATTCGACAAAAAAAGGGCAAGAACTGACAAAAACTTCCAATGTTTTTTTTCCTTCTTTATTTAGCTGTATAGTTAGTTCATTAGTAAGTGTGTAAGAGGTCGCGAGGCATTCTCAAACGACCAGTCTTACCTACCTCGAAGAAACTGATGAAAAAATTTCCAAGAAATCAGTCGTACTTATATAGTATGTGCATCAGCAAAATAAAACGGTGATTGGCTTTTAGTAAGAATTTCAAAAGGAAGTGATAAGAGCGTCTTATTAAAGTCATAGCTCATTCTTATTTAAATCTTACCTGATTCTTATCGGATTCGTACGAAATTCTTGCCATTTTCGTGCGGACTTCTTATGTAAGAATCCGATAAGATTCTTACCAGAAATAGCAAAAAATGTTTGTCTAGGGCATTACGTTATACGAACGACAATAATTTGCGTATTATTATTAGCTTCTTTCTTCTCTTTTGATCTATTAATCAAGCTATAATCTATATATAATGAGATTGTTACTCAATTTTTCGTTGTTCCTGAAAATGATAAGTGTATCTTATCGAAAGCTCGAATAGGCCAATAAAGTGATTTCTAAATAAAATCTATAATGATGTTCGTAGCAGTTTTATACTCGATAATTTTTAAATTATTATCTACTGCTTTACCTCCGAATTATTTAAAAATAAAAAGGTTCGTAAAAAATTGTCGGTAGGAGAAAAAAGCAGAGGAGAGCTGTTCTTCGCTAACCTTGACGCAATTTCTGTAAATCTCGTCTACCACAATTACACATTCTCGTTGAAAGTTGGAATCTCAAAGTGTCTCAAAATGAAATATGTTTGAATAGAGGTGCTCGAGACGCTGTCGAATACGAACGGTTCTTAATTTTGACTGTGATATTTTTTCATTACGTGAGATTAATATATTCCGATAATGTTCTTGAACAATTGACATTGGTACTATTTTTCCTTAATGTGGGACGCTCATTAACCATTTAAATAACTGTACAAAGCTGGATTGTTTCAAATCTTTGTTGTATTGTGAATAATTAGGATTAGAAAATAACCGTTTTCGTTTTGCAGCAACACTAAATGCATTTTCCACGGTATTCCACGGTATAATAATATATATAACACGATGGAATAAAACAAAATACACTGCTGAAAATAACACACTGGAAAATAACTAACAAGAAAATAAATAAATATTCTCTTCGAAGCGAATAGACCACTAACTGGTCAGTGATATCTTCCTCGACCAAACTGACTGACTACTTAACAGAGAGAGAAGACTGACTGAAAATGAAGTAATGTACAGCCTTTTATACTTGACAGAAATGACGAGAACAAAAGAAAACATAGTCCTTGACAAAAACTACAAAGTTATTGCGTAACACATAATCAACCATGGAGAAGACGAATCTGCAATCGGTTTTGATCGAACAAGCTTTTAAAATTTTTCGATTCGGTGATATGTCCTTATTTTGGTTACTTTGTTTGAGGTTCGCCTGAGTCATTGTGGTTCCAGGTTACGAATCTTTGATGACTCTCGCTTATCGTGAATAAAATAAATTAAATTAATAAGTTTGTGAATTATTGTAACTGAATTATTTATTTATTGCACGATGTTCTACCCGGTTTTGTCTTCGGGAACATGGTGCAAATGGTGGAAAGTTTAACGCATAACAAGTATGTAGCAACATGACACGACTCCATATGATTGGGAAAAACTAAAAAAAAAAAAGTTGATTACATCATGTCCTCAAAGAAAAATCCGAGCAAAACATGGTGTAATCGACTGCCCTTAGCCACCGTTACTGAAAATAGTAAAAAAAATTGTTATTTTCTCGAATCTTAATTCTTACGTTTAAAATATTTTTGAGCCTGATAGTACTTGCTTCTACGTGACTGAGAATTTTGTGCCTTATAAGTGTTTACTGGTCAAAATCAGCTTTTGAGACAGTATAAGGTTAAGAAAGTGTACGAAGGCGCGAAAAGTGATTTATCTCGTGCCTTTTCGTGTGAGCTGTTAAATATAATTGAAATGAACGTTTCAGAGCTCTTAGTTTATTCACAAATTAAATTTTAAAATTTTTTGAAAAGCCGAGTAAAATGAGGATATCTCTGGACGTGTTTATTTTCGGTGACTAAAAGGGTGAAATTTGGGTTGAGCATAAAATTCTATATAAGATCATATAATTTATTAATAAGGTTTGAGGAGCTCTCTCTGAAGTCAAAGAGTTTCGAAAAGTATTTCGGATTAGAAAATTTGTAAAGGATATTTTATATCAGCATAAATAAAAAGAGAATACTTTCAGCAGTGACGTGTATGGCCTACTAGTTAAAGGTATTTACGCGTAGACTCAGTGGTCCCACACTCTTTGATTTCAAGTTGCTTTCGTGGTATAGGGAGTTTTTAATATTTTTTAGAGCTCTTCAGTGTTTTCTAGAGTGAACAAAAGCTAGACATACCTTGTAAAAGGGAATTGTTTAACTCATTCAATACCTGCGCAGTAATAAAAAGAATGCATCAGAACTACTAAACGAGAAGGTAGATAATTAGTTCGAGCGTTTTCGCGTCAAACGAACCTTTGTGATTCGCGCTCAAGCCTATTTCTGTCGCATTTTTCGGAATAATTATAATTAGGGCTTCGTTTCAATAATTATGCCAGAAATTCCTCTTTTTGCATTATTTTTGAGTAAAGCAGGCGCTCTAGTGTAATTTTAGGCGTGTCTAGGCATGCACCAATACAATATATTGGGTCCCAATAATATTGGCCACCCAGTCTATTGGGACCAATAATTATCAGTCGTCCAATATATTGGGTTTTCGCAATATTATTGGGTATGGGTCACTTGAGGTCGGCCTACTTTTACAGTACGGAATCATGCTTTATATCCCGTTTTGAATAAAAAAATAACCCAATTGGGCATGCACCGATTAATAATTAATATCAGCAAAGTCATTCCAAATCAGTTATAAAAAGCTCTCAGAACTGCCGAACGCTTCATTTTGTAGGAAAATGTTTTCTCTACCAAACTGAAGTGCTACAAAAATTTTAATGTTATATATAGAGAAAATACAATAAATCGAAAACGCACTATAATCATAGAAAAATAATCGCCCGCAGCTTTTTTCGCAATTTTGCTCAGTTTTTGATGCTTAAATTTCTGTCGCAGATAACGCTAAAATGTCTTTTTGCACTTTAGTTTGGTAGAGCAAACATTTTTCTATAAAATGAGATATTCGGCAACTCTAAGTGCGTTTTGAAATCTGATTCGGAATGACTTTGCTGGATGCCCTAATATCGATTGTTAATCGGTACATGCCTAATCCCGATCGGGATATGCTTCCTCACGTTTTTATGAAGGTAAATGCTATTAAGGTTAAAAAGTTGAAGTCCAGTGTATTGCGGAACCCAATATTACCCAATATTATTGTACAATATTATTGAGTGACCAGTATTATTGATCCCAATAGATTGGGTGACCAATATTATTGGTCCCAACAGATTGGGTATACAATAATATTGGGACACAATATTATTGGATAGCCAATAATATTGTACAATATCTTCAATAATGATTGGTATTGGTGCATGCCTAGGCGTGTCGGCCGTCTTGAATTTCTATTGGTTGGCATGCAAAACGAATAAAATAGTTCTCCGTAGACACCAACGCTCTATAAAATAAATTAGCAAAATCGGAGCTGGTTTATTCAGTATATTAAGAGAAAAATATTCTTCCGTGTATCCAATGTGGTGTTCGGAATGCTGATATCGTATTGACTGAAGTGCGAGAGAAGGTTATCTCATCAAGTCCCGCTTCAACCTGTATAACTGAAATTTGAAAACAAAACAATTTTAATAAATAATTCAATTCAGAATACAAGAAATGAAGTCAAATAGCCTGTTCCCTACCATCTACTGTATCGAAAAAAGAAAGTGAGTAGTACGGTTTTCTAATAATGATCTTCTTGTGACTTATGATTGAAATATCTTAGATTCACATTTAACAATGCTCAAATTATTGCAAATTTTATCTGCTTTCTAGGCAGGGACGCCTGACAACAAGAGATGACGACAAACAACCTTTTAACCTTTAAATCACTTATCCGTGGCGGGCGTAAAGTAAGTTTAAGTTAAACGATTTTTCATTGGACTTTTTTTGCATTCCATGCTATTGTACTGTTTTTCTGGAATGACAAGTCATAGAAGAAGAAAAGTGTAGCGATTAAGTTAAACGATAAAAACCGATTTTCAACAGCAAAATATATGTCATTTCACTTAGAATTCGCTGCTAATTTCGAATGTATAGTTTTTTTCTGAGTATAGTATAGAAGAAAAATGATACATAATTATACTATTCAACCGACGGTGGTATCCCACGAAGAAATGATTGGTCTTATGCTTTTGTTTCTTCAGGAGACAAAAGAATGAATGTGGAAGATTATGAAAAATTATTATTAAATTATTTGTTACACTTTTGTATACGGTATAAGTTTCATTGGTTTTTCGATGAAAATTCTAAGTTTTACTAAGTGATCGTTCGTCTGATTTTAGTTACGAGCTTTTTTTTAGTTACGAGAATTTTCTCAGCAGTGGAAAGGAATTTCCAAAAAAGCGATTTGTAAATTTTTTGTGCTTGCAAAGATGAATCGAATGCGGTATGATTGAAGGTTTTATCTTATATCAGAAATGGCTAATCAAATTTGTCAATTGGTTGGCGTCTTTGAAGCTATTTTGGCGCGTGATTTCTTATTTTGACGACCTCATATGTGATAAAGGCTTAAATAGCGTTTCTAGGGTCAGTTTAATATACTAAATTTGAAAAAGTAATGGGAAGACTAGATAATAGAATGGATAAAGCTTTTTAATGCTCTGCATAATGTAGCGATTTTTTGAAATTTTGGGTTCCTACAGATTTTTTGAATAGATTTCACTTAAAATTTGCCCTGAAAAGGTTAAAACATAGATATTCTTGATCAGTTCGTAAGCTTTGTCATATAATGTATCAATAAGCCGAAAACAGAATAATGCTTCAATGAATTAGCGGCGCCCTAATAAAAAACAGATAATCATTTTTATGAGATTCGAACAACCGAACCTATGATGTTCACACATCTACAGGACAAACAGCTAGACGGATAGACTATATCCTGGATCTAGGTTTATAAGTTACACACTGATCGGCAAAACATTGGGCATCGCTTGGTATTCATCTTTTGTGTGTCATTTCCACAGTGTGTTTCTCGGACAAATTATATCCTCAGCTTAAAGTAGCGAACGAAGAGAGATAGCATGTGGTATAAATTGCGTGATAAGCATTAATGTACGTTTGACGCTTAATGTATAGTATAAAAACAGAGCTTTTCTCATCTAGACTACATACGTTTCTTTTAATATGATATTATTACACCGGAGTCATAAGTAAGGGATGAAAAACTTGGGGTCTATGAAATGGTAATTATCAGTTTCGTGATAACGATTATTTATTAATTATAATGATCTATTTTCATTGATGAAGTTATCAATTAAGCATTTGTTCCTAATGCTTTGCCTTATCAGGAGCGAAACGTATTCAACTCTTCTCTGCTATTCAGTGAAAACCTTACTTCCTTAAAAACAGAATATTCTCTGGTTTTTGCCGACTTCAAAGTTTCGATAAAGGACCAAAGCTGAAGAGGAAAGAGCAGTACTAAAAACCGTCATAGCATCCTTTGTGGAGAGTCTACAAGCGCAAACTAACTATAGGCAAATATGACGTTTTCTAGAACAAGAATAAAGGAGCCCTTTGAACGAATTAAAAGAACAGATGAATGGAGCAACAGCCATTGGAAAAGAGCGAATTCTGGAAGAACCAGTCCTATGCGAAAAAACTCTTAGAATAATGGAAAGTGAGCCAATAAGTATAATTTTCTCTAAACCTGATGCTAAAAAGTCATAATTTTACTTATAATTCTCAATTTTCTTCATCAGAGCTCAATTTTATGTAATAAAAATATGATATTTATAATCAGGATCAAAAACTGGGTTGACTAATGTGTACTTCAAAATTTTTACTTGAGCTCGGTAAGTTTTCATGGTAGAAAGTCGATAAAACCTAAAGTAGCAGGATAGGACAGAAACACATATTTGTCGACTTAGTCTTGGATCCTGATTGCGAACATCACGTTTTTCTTATACAATATTTTCACAAGTTTTCTTTTCTACAGAACGTGAGTTTTCATTCCTTCTTGTTCGACATTTTTCTTCTCCATTTTTTATTGAGATAAAACAATCTTAGTTTTTCTAAAATGCAGATAGAAAAAAATGACACAAGAGAATCTCTACAAAGAAAAACATAGTTCTCTTTACGCGGAAACTGAACTAGAAAAAAGGAATGAAAAAAAAATGTCGAACACTCTTTTCACGTATGTTTTGTGTAACCGTTATATAGTGATTACTGATCATTAGTCATTAAGAATGTTGAAATAGTTGACTTTTTCTGGTCATGACGTAGCAATATTCGAATTATTTACATATGAATTTAAGACAAACTGTTAGTACTAAAACACATAATATTTATTATACTTTGTATTTATACAAATTATTTTATTTCATTTTCAACAACTAAAGATTTCGACGTTTACTAACATCTTTATAAACAGCATAAAAGTGTTTTTAGAAATTTAACAATGAAATACGGATAACTATGTAACTAGATGTGGCAATCTGTAGATGTTGGATTTATAAGAAGTAGTAGTAGAAAGTATTCAGCGATCCAGTCTTTATTTTGGATTATAGCCACTCAAATAGCCAGATATTTAATTTTTTCTAGTGCAAATCGAATTTTGAATTTGCTCAAGGGAGTTTTCAAAATTATCCTCGATTCGAATTTTCTCTCCCAGAGTTCTTTTGAATACATCGTTTAATCGCTTTTTTGACCAGAAAAAGACAGCTATTTCAATATTCTTAATGACTAATGATCGGTAATCACTATATAACGGTTACAAAGAACATACATCAAAACAGTGTTCGATATTTTTCTTTCATTCTTTCCTTTTTTCCTTTCTTTCCTTTTTTCCTTTCTTTCCTTTTTTCCTTTCTTTCCTTTTTTTCTAGTTCAAATAGCAACTTCCGTATAAGAGAAATATGTTGTTTTTTGTTCTCTCGTATGATTTTATTCTATCTGCATTTTAGAAAAACTAAGTGTTCTATCTCGATAAAAAATGGAGAAGAAAAGCGCCGAACAACAAGGAATAAAAACTTTGGACGAAGAAACACTCGCGAAGATAATCGAAAAGGCAATTCTACAGTTGTATCAGCCGGTGCAATCCTTGCCGTATGTACAAGTTGTCCAACGCCTTAATATTTGTTACTTAAGAGTTAAGATTCACATACTCTTTTGCGATGCAGAACGGGTATAGGCTTTCTGAAATATCTGAAATATTAAGTTAGAGTACTATAATGTCCTGTGTATTTCATAGTTACCTTTTCTCTTCTTTCCTATCCTTCATGATCAAGAAGTTATCCTTTGGGGCTTCTCTCCTTATTTATTGGCCGTTTTGGTTATATAAAAAGCTTTTTGATCCTATTTTTGCGCTTTAACTGAGAATTGTTTTCAGCTTGTGCTGTTTTCTAGACTACGTTGTGCAGACATGGCTTCCCAAACTTCGTCAAAAGCACAACAACGATTTGTATGGGTTTGGAAATCCAACGTTGATCCGTGGTCAAATGTTGAGCCAGATGAATGGAAACGGTATTCGGACATTGCGAATTATATGATAGAAAGCGCCTATAAACAAAAGCAAAGTCAAGTCGAATTGAATGATGTCTGGATCAATTTCAATTTTGAAGTACAAATCAATAAGCAAGATTCGAACAGACAACGGCCGATCAAACGAATAACACAAGGTGAAGAATATATTAGACAGGAAAGATATACACTAGAAGAACCACAACTCACCCCAAAATCATTCAGCTCGACTGATAGTAGTTGGTGCAAATTTCTTCAGGCGGCAGGATATTTTGACACAGATATTTCAGCTAATGCATTAGCTGAGAAAGCAGCTGCAGGCATTGTAGAAGAAGGTACAAAACTTGGGGAAAAAACAGACGCTGAAGCAATGGCAGATGCATTGAAAAAAGCAAAACGAAAAGGTATAGAAGAAATTCGTGTATGCTGCGCCAGATTATATACGATGAACAGTTTCTTGTACAAACTGATCAATAAAGTTATGAGAAATGCAGAAGTACGATATGGAAGATTCGTACATGAAAGTGATAAAAATTATGCTCGCACATTAGGACCATATTGTTACCTGTTATGGAGGTATCTCTACGCCAAAAATCGTGAAACGGGTATTGTCGTTTTTAGATGTGCTGAATTAACAAAAGAAATGATTGATGATTATAAAAAACATCAGGGGCAACGGGTTTCATGGGATGCCTTTACAAGCACAACAAAGAAGAAACAAATAGCAATAAACTTTGATAAAAACACTTTGTTTCACATCTTCATTAATAATGAAAGAGATTCTCTTGGTGGTCCATTCTATCACCCTCGTTGGCCCGTTCGTGCAGTTGATATATCTTCATTGTCAGAATATCCATATGAGGAGGAAGTTTTATTAGCGGCTGGAACACAGATGGAGATAAATTCTATTGAATATGATCGGAAAATTAATAAATACTGTATTGCCTTGACCGCTTATGGTCGAAATTAATATCTCGTTCAACTACTTGAATTTCTACGTTTTCTATTCGATCATCTCTACTTATATATTAGTTAATCAAAGACAAATATACAGCTTCGATCAGCACCACATGTACACATATTCATATTTTATATCTGTTGTTCGTTATTGTTCGTTGTTACCTATACTTTTAGTTTTTATTTTGGTGAAAATCTGTCGAGGATGCATGATATATATTATGGTTATCACCTTCTCTTATTCATTGCTGATAATCATATCGATAGAGGTGTGTTGCTAATCTTTGGAGCTTCTATTACCGTTACATGGATGTTTGTCACAATCTTTGAGATCAATCTCAATCGAAAGAGCGTTCACTTCTTTATAAAAGTATGTGGTTTAAACGTTTTTAAAAGATCGTCGGAAGGCCGAAAAAATTCTGACATCTCTGTCTATTATAGATCTTAGAGAAATTCGGTCAGTATTGATACCGAACTTTTGTTTTTCTGTAAATGAAAAAAGATACATTTTCTCTTGCTAATAAACAACAACAACCTTAGAGAAATTGTAAAAATATATGTTTTTCGGAACGAATAAACCCACGCAGCTGAAACATTTGAGGAATGTTTTGTAAACGCTTCTGAACAGTATGACTCATTTAGATATGCAGGAAAACTTTTGATCGGGCTATAAAGGCTGACAGACTTGTCTGATCTTTTTTTTGCACTCCGATCGGCTTTTTATTACATATATCTATTATCAGATCTCATAGATATTTTCTGATTCTTGATAGGCTAAAGTATAAATATCTACTGCGAACCCAGTCAATCGTCAATCTCCTTCTTATTCAATAAATTGAAAAGATATTGGACCGTGACTGCTCATAGAGGTCTCTGTCAAGTCATGAATTAAGAGATTAAGTGAAATTGATTTACAAGAAACAGAGTTGCAGAACACAATTTATACTGAAACATTTTTAATGCAATTTTTATGAAATAAAATGAGCGAGAAAACACTTGACATTATGATTTGTGGCAGAAACCTTTACACAAGCTTAAATTTTGTCAAAATTCGGTGAAATTTCTAAACATAAGCAAAAATTGCATTTTTATCGCACTTTTTAGGCTTCAGATCTGTTTTGTCCAACATGTAAAATTGAGTATAGAGAAATGAATTAGGGCTTAAAAAATGGGTAACATATTCGTTAAACATAAGCAGAACTGTTGAAAACCTGCGATTACCCAAGGTACATGGTGTAAATCTATCTAGTTTTTCCGAATAAAACTAGAATATCTTTTTTTATACACGATTCTAACTGTCACACCCATAGGAAGAAAGAGTAGGCTTTATTTGTTTTACTTGTCTTCATTGCTGAGAAAATTCATTTTCATAAATTATTCGACTTCTGTGATTGTTATCGTTGATTGTTCTTCGTAAACATGATCTGTGAGTCGGTTCTCGTTTTCTACTTCTAAACTTGTTTGAACAATGAATGGAGTTAAGTGTGGTTCTGGAAGATATGATAATGTAGTAAATTGTCTTCTAATTATTGTCATCATGATTTAATAAATGATCTGCTATTATTTTCCAGAACCATACTTAGACCCATTCATTGTTTAGAAGTAGAACTCACAGGTTATGTTACCAAGACCAATCAACGATGATAATCGTAGAAGTAATGGTTTATCGTAAAACAAACTTAATTTCAGGTGCAAATATTACTCAACATGGACAGACTGAAGAAACTATCATTCCAAAAACCTTAAGACGTTTTCTCACCTCAGAAAGAGAGAAAATTCTAACTTCTTTGGAAAATTTAAGCAATCAACTTCTAAAAATAGATTAGAATTAGAGCCATTATTAAATCTAGATACAACTTTACTTGTAAATGAAACAAAAGTAGCACAGTTTTACTAAAATTCAAGCGGTATCGATGATGAAACAGTGTGTTTAGGCTTTAAATTGTATAAATTAGAAATGCATCAATGCGGAAGTATGTGCATCAAAATCACAAAACGTAAACACCAAACTATAAACATAGAATTCCAGTTTTTTGGTAGTGTGTTTCCTCCTTTTAAGATGAACACTCAAGATCTGCTTATCCGAAAGTTAAAAGTAAGCAAATTTAAATGAAAATATTATCCATCATTAAATTCAAACGTTGAACATCAATTCATATTTCTATGGTTACTATTTCAGAAACAAAAAATTTAGCTAAGACGCAAAAACATTCCAGTATTTCAAATTATTTTATTGACCAAAATGAGTCTCGAAACACGTCTCGTACTTCTATTTCAATAAATGTTTTTTCTTCTTCTCTTCTGTTCAACTTTTTTAAATAATAATATACTCTACACAAACACACTGATTTAAAATCCTTTTTCTTAGAATCACAGCGAAGGATGAACTTTCAGTTACTTTTTAATTGTTTGACTTGAAGTACAGCAGAAGATAAACAAAAAAAATATGATGTTAATGGATTAAAAATTGATTCTTCTTTTATTTTGAACGGGTGAAATTTACCTTAAAACAATCATCGTGGCCATGTTTATTTTTGTGCAGGAACTAACCAGAGTCCGCTAGAGGCTTGTTTCCTCAAAACTCTTTTTTTGCTAAAGTTCAGATTGATATATCTCTGCTATTTTACGTCAGAACTCGACTAAATGTTTACCAGAGACTCAGAATATGGCCTAGAATACGCAACTAAACAGAAAAATCCAAAGTTTCTAAGAGGTTTCTAGAAAACTTTCACCACAGAAACGCAAAACTTATATGTGACGCGACTAACTTATGATTCTCCAAAAACATCTTGTTAATACATTTTTAAAACTCTTGTTATGCCTATCTTATGCAGAATTGTTTTCTCTATAAAAGTCACAAATAAAATATCTTGAGATCGAGTCGGGAGTTCAAACTTGCCACCAGCCCTTGTTCCTGGACTGGGAAATATTTCTCAAAACTACACGAGCCCTTTTGTAGAGATTCGAATTTTCTGTTCGACAGTATATTTACTAAAA